AGGGGATGTCATGGGAGATAACACCTCCTGACAGACACTCTCTGAGCAGAAGATGGCTTGATCCCCAGGTTATTCAGTTGGGATGACACACTCAGATCTTCCTTTGAGGAAGAGCTGGGGGCACAGCATGTGGTAGGTGGGCAGAGGGAGACTGAGGCAGGGTGTGGGGACTGGGACTGGCCAGGGCCGGGGAGTGGAGAAGGGGACAGAAGGAGTGAGGCCTCCAGGGCAGCCCTGGTGTGCAGTCAGATCAACAGGCCCACGCACAGCGCTCGCTGCTGGGTCGCAGCGTAAGATGACACGGGAACACAGTTCACCTGCAGCACTGCCTGGTCAGAGCAAAAATCCTGGCCGGGCATGACGGCACACACCTGCTCCTTGGGAGGCTGAGGCAGGTGGGTCACTTCGAACCGGGAGTTCAAGGCTGCTGCCCGGGCTGGACCCCAACTCAAAACAGAACAAAACAAAAAAACCTGAGGGAAGGCAGTGGGGTGGGGGGAGCAGCCAGGTAGTAGAGCAACTGTGGTGGCAAAGATGGATGGGTCTTTCCAAATATCCAGTAGAATGTTTTGAATGTTCCCGTGAAAAGCAGTGGCCAGCGTCTGAGGGGATGGATCGGACAGTCCCACTGACCCGAACCTGGCACTTGGTACACACAGAGCAGAACATCGCCTATGCCCCCTAAACGTGCTGTTCTCATAGGTCCACAAACAATCAAAAGCAAAAAAGCAACCGCAGGTGGTCGCCCTGCCCGCCCCACCCGCCCTGCACGCCTCCTCCCCCACCCCGAGAGGAGGACCCTGAGTGTCCCCTTGGTCTTCCTGCTCTACGTGGTTCTGGCTGCCGACACACAGGCCCTGGGCTCACTGCTGCAGCTCACGCAGGAGTGCTGCTCATGGTGTGCATGAACGCCGTGGTCACATTCCCTTTCAGCTGCCTCTAACTTATTAAATCAAGTGTTTATTTCCTTTGTTTTTAGGTATCTGTGAAGTGCCCTTCAGAAATAACACAGCATCAGTGACCTTCTCGGCCCTTTGCACCTGGGGCCCCTGCTCAGCAGCCTGTTCTCCCCAGTGCTGTCCAGGTGGGCTGCCTCCAGGCCAGGACCCGGCAGTGTTCAGACGGAGCATGTGGGAGGCAGGTTCCTGAGACCCCGGGTATGGGAACATGCCTCTGTTCCGTCAGAGCCCTCAACTGTGGGCGGGAAACTGTTCTCAAAACTCAAAGGCTCCGGCCATGGTCTCCCACTGTCCAGATCACTGTGGAAAGCTGGTGCCCTCCCGTGATCAATCCTTCACAGACCTTACATCTGGTCCTGCTCCGCTCGCTGCCCGTCTGAAAGTTTTCAGGATCTTCAATGTAAACTCACTGTCTGCAGCTGCATAATGAGGGACTTGGAGTGGGTTTTCCCTCTGTCATCTGCTCAGCATTCTAGGGCCTCTAAATTTGAACAACAATACCCTTCTATTTGAGAGGTATTTTCTTGTTATTTGTGTGTGTGTGTGTGCACGTGTGTGTGGGCGTGTGTTGCTGGGGATGGAACCCAGGGCTTTATGTATGCTAGGCAAGTGCTCTAACACTGAGCTACACCCCAGCCCTTTTTGTTTTGAGACAGGATCTTGCTGAGTTGCCCAGGCTGGCCTCAAACTTATGGTCCTCCTGTCTCAATCTCCTGAGTAGCTGGGATCACAGGTGTGCACCACCGTGCCTGGCTTAGGTTGCTTCTTTAGGACCTGCTTTATCCTGCAACCTGGAGGGCAGACAAAGGTAGATTTTCATAACAAAATCCACTAAAAGTTTTTTTTTGCTTTCTATTATTAATGGATGCCAGCAACCCTCCATAATGCCAGTGATAAAATACTCCTCAGGAAAGTACCTTTGGTTAGTTAAGTGCAGGATTTGCTGATGTGACTGAGCTCTGATGTCAGAGCTTGTCCCACCCTTTTATCAGCTTTGTACGCTATCTGGAAACCAGCTGAACTGTTTCCAGAGGAAGTTCCTAAAACTTGGGTGCAGTGTGTGCTTCCAGTCCTGGTGAAACTTTGCACCATGGCTCCTGTGTTTCACAGCAAAACAGACGTTAGCTGTGCTTGAGGTATGTCAATGGTCATTCCAGGGGGTCCCTTGGGTTTTTATTTGACCCTTTGATTTTTGACTGCAAAGAATTCTGAAGGCTGCTAGGATTGTATAGATTCATAATTTCTCGAATGTACTGTGACGTAGAAGCTTCATGTACCTTTTCTAAACACTGTATCCTGGGCCCGAGGTTTTTCCTGTGGCTTTAAGTGAAAGAAAATTTCAGTTTAATAGAAGGTGTTCTTGCCAGGCGTGGTGGCACACACCTGTAATCCCAGTGGCTCTGGAGGCTGAGGCAGGAGGGTCACTAGTTCAAAGCCAGCCTCAGCAAGGGTGAGATGCTAAGTAACTCAGTGAGACCCTGTCTTTAAATAACATACAAAAATGGGCTTGGGATATGGCTCAGTGCTCAAGTGCCCCGAGTTCAATCCCTGGTACTCTAAAATAAAATAAAAGGTATTCTTGGGTTGGGGTTGTGCCTCAGAGGTAGAGCGCTCCCCTAGCACGTGTGAGGTCCTGGTTTCGATCCTCAGTACCACATAAAAATAAATAAATAAAATAAAGGTATTGTGTGTAACTACAACTAAAAATAAATATTTTTAAAAAGGTATTCTTTGATCATCTAGGAGGAAAAATTGATAAATATGGATGAATAGTCTATTTAAACTGACAATGAGAAAAAAAAATTTTTTTTTTTTTCTGATTTTGGTTTTTTGGTACCGGGAATTGAACCCAGGAGTGCTTAACTACTGAGCCATATCCCCAGCCCTATTTTGAGACAGTCTCACTAAGGGCTTTGCTAAATTACTGAGGCTAACCTTGAACTAGTGATCCTCCTGCCTCAGCCTCTGAAGCCATGGGGATTATAGGTGTGTGCCACCGCACCTAGCTAAAAAAATTTTTTTAATATTTATTTTAAAGTTTTAGTTGGGCATAATACCTTTATTTTACTTATTTATTTTTTTTAATGTGGTGCTGAAGATCGAACCCAGGGTCTTACATGTGCGAGGCAAGTGCTCTGCCACTGAGCCACAACCCCGCCCCCTAAAATGTTTTTTTGTAAAAAAAATAGTTTTAGTTGTAGATGGGCAGAATAACTTTATTTTGTTTATTAATTTTTTTATGTGGTGCTGAGGATGGAACCCACTACCTCACACATGCCAGGGAAGCGCTCTACCACTGAGACACAACCCCAGCTCCAAAATGGGGTTTTTCAGTGTTAAATTTTCAAAAACGGAAATGACTACAATGTTACCAATTCCCACAGGCACCATGCTGGTGTGTGGGTGATGCCTCCCATCCCACTGTGGGGTTCAGTGCAGTGGCCTCTTGCTCCGTGGGTGTGTAGGTGGAGTCCAGGGAGGGCAAGGTAGGAGCCAGCCCCCCAGCTTTCTCCAGCAGGCCTCCCAAGTCTGCCCCACTAGCTGCTGAGCAGAGGGGTCTGGACTGGGTCAGGAACAAGGTGGGAAGATAGCCAAGGGGAGAGGAGGCCCGAGGTGGAAGGGGCAGACCTAGCAGCTAGGCCTGTGCACAGGGGCAGGGGCAGAGGTGCCAGCTGGTCTGGACCCTGGCCCAGGGTAGAAAAGCGGAGAGGGTGGGAGTAGGGTTGGGAGGATGGTGTCCTGGGGCTAGGAGCACCCAGCTGCCTCAGGGTAGAGGGGAGCCCCTCAGGCCGCAGGAGCATCTCTGACACAGGACTGTGTGGCCTCACCAGGTGACCACACTTGCTGGCTCAGGAGTGTGGGTTACCATGAGACCAGCATGCATGGTTCTGACAGCTGGTCAGGATGCAGGTCAGTCTACTACTCCACTGCTGGGCAGATGGCCCCTGACCAGCCAGGGCAGTAGTTTCCATTCTGGCCAGCAGGTGGCAGGAGAGGCCACAGGGACCTGAGCTCCGTTCAATGCCTGCCTTTCAGCCAGCAAGGACAAGGAAACAGGGCCCCAGACCAGACCCCAGGCATGACCTGGAGGGCTCCCATGAAGGAACAGCTTCCACTTCCTCAGTAAGGACAAGGGTGTAGGGAGTGGAAAATCAGGGTCACCAGGAGAGAGGCCAGCTTCATCCTAAAATCCAAAAAAGAGGACTTAAAAACAGCACACTGCAGGGACCCAGCCACATCAATGTTTACAGCAGCACAGTTCACAACAGCTAAACTGTGGAGCCAACCTAGAAGCCCTTCAGTAGACGAAAGGATTAAAAAATGTGGCAAATATACACAATGGAATATCACTCAGCAATAAAAGAGAACAAAATCATGGCATCTGCAGGTAAATGGATGGCGTTGGAGAAGATAATGCTGCAGTGAAGTTAGCCAGTCCCCCAAAAAACAATGCCTAATGTTTTATCTGATATAAGGAGGCTGACTCATAGTGGGGTAAGGAGGGGGAGCATGGGAGGAATAGATGAATTCTAGATAGGGCAGAGGGGTGGGAGGGGAAGGGAAGGGGGCAGGGGGTTAGCAAGGACAGTGGAATGTGATGGACATCATTATACAAAGTACATGTATGAAGATATGAAACTGGGTGTCCACATACTTCTTTTTTTTTTTAAACAGTGTCTTTTCTGTTGTTTTTTTTTTTTAAAGGGGGGGGGGGAGAGAGAGAGAGAATTTTTTTTTTTAATATTTATTTTTTAGTTTTCGGCGGACACAACATCTTTGTTTGTATGTGGTGCTGAGGATCGAACCTGGGCCGCACGCACGCCAGGCAAGCGCGCTACCGCTTGAGCCACATCCCCAGCCCCCAGGGTGTCCACATACTTCATAAACAAACAGAGATATGAAAAATTGTGGTACATATGTGTAATAAGAATTGAAATGTAAAAAAAAAGACACCAAAGTACATGTATAAAGGCATGAATTGGCGTGAACATACTTTATACAAAGATATGAAAAACTGTACTCTATATGTATAATAAGAATTGTAATGCATTCTGCTGTTGTGTATTTAAAAAAATAAAATCAATAAAACAACAACAAAAAAATCCAAAAAAGGCCCAGGATATGCCAAGCAGGGAAGGAGGGGTGCCAGGTGAGGGGCTGCTGCTGTAGAGGCCTGGCCAGGCTGGGCCTTTGGCTCTGGTGTGAGGTGGCTCTGAGGCTGGCTGAGGGTCACACTGAAGCAGGTCTGCACCTCAGGCGTCGTCGTGGATAAGGGAACTGGGGAGTCTTCTTTACTTTCTTCTTGGTCCTTTCTGTAGTTTCCAGACATCCCCAAGTGACCTGTGTTGCTTAAAGCAGAAACTTTGGGGCCACTGAGGAGTGAACCCAGGGAGCCTTTCCACCACACTGCACCCCAAGTCCTCTTTATTTTGAGACAGTCTTGCTGAGCTTGGCTGGAATTTTGAGCCTCTGGAGTCCCTGGATCATAGGTGTGACTACTGTGCCTGACCAGAAACATTCTGACGTGGACGCATGGGAAGCATAAGAAGGCTTGTTCAGAATGGGACCTGAGCAGGTGGCTGCCTGCCGTACCATCCCTACTGATGCCCATGTTGCCTCAGGAGCTCACCCTCATACATGGTCTCCTGAGGGGTGGTCCTGAACTGACCCTTTAGACATTTGAGCCACTACCTGGGGGTGAGACCTGCCCCATCCCTGTACCCAGGAGGCAGCCCACCTGCTGGCCCCAGAGCAATGCCACAGGAAGTTTGTCATTCTCTTTCCCTTCACTAGGGTCCCCCCCAACACCCTACAGGGCCTCCAGGAGATGCTGCACCTCCAGCTGGCTGTAGGCTGGGCACTGAGCTAGGGAAAAGCCCCCATGGTGTGCTTGTGTGGGGGACCCTGGCTTAGAGCTGTTTTGGCCTTTCCAGGAGTGCGCCTATCAGAGAGTGGCAGACAGGGCAGCTGGTGTCTTTCAGGAGTGGCAGCACAAGGCAACTTTCAAATGACTGAGGAAAAAGAGCCACTTTTAGGGTAAGCAAGGGACTGTGGCCTCTGTGAGGTGACTCCCCCCCTGGGAGCAGCACCAGTTACATGAGGGGCATCCTGTGTATAGCCTTTGTGCCTCCTGCTCCCACATGCAAGTTGGCTGTCACCCCAAAGGCCCGAGGGAGTAAAGGACGTGAGGCATGGGCCTCAAGGACAGAGGCCCTGTGTGGGAAAGGTGAGTGCTCAGTTGTGTTCAGAAGTGTCCACAGTGCCCTACTGGACATGAAATGAAAAGCAGAAGCAGCAGCAGCAGCGAGAGAGACGTCAGTGGTTGGACTGCCAAGGGGCAGCTGCTTTCCTTGAGGACCTTCAGGTAGAGTGGGGGTCACTGGCAGTTGTCCCCTTCAGTGCTCTGTAGGTCTAATGGGCAGCTGCTGGGGCCTCCCCTCTGTGGCCAAGTCACAGGAGCTGGTGTCCACTGCATCTAGCCCTGTCCATGGTGAGCCTCACACTTTCTGCAGGGGCTCCAGCACTCTCAGGTCAGGATACTGAGGCCCAGGACAGTGGCCACCTCATGAGCACCCCAGACCCTGAAGCTACGGGAATGTAACTGCTGGTTCTCAGGGCTTGGGAGATGCTGGGGCCCCTCTTGAGTCTGCCCAGGGGAACTTGCCCTGCCTTGCCCTCAGGGGCTGCCCTGGTGGGATGACTTTTGCTTTCTTGCTTTCTTTTTTAAATATTTACTTTTTAGTTGTAGTTGGACACAATACCTTTATTTCACTTATTTATTTTTATGTGGTGCTGATGATTGAACCTAGGGCTTCACACATGCTAGGCGAGCGTCCTGCCACTAAGCCACAACCCAGGTCTCGACTTTTGCTTTCTTTTGGCAGGAAGGAACCTGTGTGGTAATCCCCAGAGTGAGTCACCTTTTTCTGAGCTGAGCCAGTGGCCACTTCCCATCAGAGCACCTCTTGAGTCTTGTAAGTCTCAACTCTGTACACAGGCCTGTTATTAGAATGGAAAAAAAAGTGTGAAAACCCTCTGAACACAGGAAAGTCTAAAATAAATGAAGGTATTTTTGTGACAGAAGCACTGCCACACTGGTACTGGTATTGTCCCCGTGGCCCTGAAGTGCTATCAGCATTTGTCTTGCTGGGAAAAATTTTTTTTTCCAGTATTGGGCATTGAGCCCAGGGCCTCCCTCATACATGCTACTCAGCGCTCTGACACTGAGCTACACCCCTGCCCTTGGGGAAATCTCTGGATGTAGATGGAGCTGAGGTAGTCCTGAGCCCCTTCCCTTGTGGATGTCGCCATCCTGCCAGGGGTTCTAACTCCCAAGGAAGGGCCCACTGCCTGAAGGCTGGCGGAACATTTTTCTTTTTCTTGTCGTGCTGGGGCGCAAATTCAGGGCCTTGTGCTTTTTGGACAAGTGCTGTACCACTGGGTTACATTCCCAGCCCACAACTTTCCCATTTCACTCTGAGGAAGTATCTGAGCTCTGCTGCAGGTAGACCCCTTCATTCTGGGGTGCTGGATTCTCAGGACCTAGATGCAGCTGGGAGGAGACCCTCCTTGTGCCTCAGAGCAGTTAGTTTCTGGGCTTGAATGAGATTCTCCTGACCTTGCAGGTGAGAACTCAGAATATTTCCAGGGCTGTTTGCAGCCTCCATGAAGCTAACCGTCCTGGTAACTCTGAGTTCTATCTGAGGCAGGGAGGCCTTGCTGTCATGTCCCAGGAAGCGAGTTTCAGGTGGGGGAAATTCCAACTCCAAACCATGACGTGGTGCAAGCAGTGTGGTCTAATAAACCACCCCACCTTTCAGCCCATTCCATCCTTGAGCAGTTTCCAAGGCTTCCCAGGGACCTTACCTCTGAACCTTCTTCCTTTCCAGCCCAGGGAGAGAGCCGCGGAAACTCACGGAACACGAGAGTGTCTGCTCATTTTTTGGCAAAGCCCACGCGCTATCCTGTCCAATGCTGGCTGACCCCTTACGGAGATGACGGAGTCAGCCCTCCCAGCGATGCCTCCTTCTAGATGTTCCTATTTGCTTGTTCCACATTTCCATGTGTCAAAAAGGCAGAGGAGACGCTTTTCTTTGGTGGTAAATTGCACACAACATAAGAAAGGACCATTTAAATCTTTTGCAGTGGACAATCCAGTTAGTTCTAGATGTCTCACTATCCCCAAAAGAGACTATGCCTCTGTTCCGGCGATTCGAGCCTTCGTGGGGATGGGAGTATGGAGCGAGAGAGCCTTAGGCTGGCCCTCGTAGTCCGGACCTCACAGCAGATTTAGCACCCTGGGACTCCGCGACCGCTTGCAACCTGCGAGAGCAAACTTAAGTATCAAGCTGCTGCAGCGCCGACCAATCGGCGCCTGCTGCGGCTCCCAGAACGCTCTTGGTAGGCCCTCGTGTCAATCCGTCAGGAGGCGGGCCCACAGCAGGCGATTCCGACCAATAGGCGCTCTCCGCGGCTCCTTTCGCGTTCGTGGTAGGCTCGCGCGTCAGTCCATCAGGAGGGTTTGGGGTGGGGCGGGCCGACAGCGGCGGGGGCGGCGGCCGCGCGGGCGCCGAGTTCCGGGCGCTCAGAGACCGTTGGGTGAGGCAGCGCGGGTCCGGGTCGGGGCGGGCCCGGCGCGGGGTCCGGCTGGAGTCGGGGGCAGCGGCGGGGTCGCGGGCGGGGTCGCGGGCGGACGCGCAGCCGCCGCTGTCTGAGGGGACTTCTCGGAGCGGAGGAGCCGGAAACCGAAAGTCGGGGGTGGGGCGGGAAAGTTCGCGACGCTCGCGGCTGTGCGGACGGCGCGGGCCCTGGGGTGCGCGGCACGGGTCGCGGTCCCGGGGTCTCGGCCGCTGGGTCCCGGGGCCCTGCCCGACCCGCTTTCGTCGTGGCCACGGGACGCCACAGCCCTGACTTGGACCTGCTGCCGCCTGGTCCCCCAGGGCCACCTCTGCAGCCGGCCTCTTGCCCCCGGGGCTTTCCCATCTGTGGGTTCAGGCGCGGGTCCCCTCGCTCCCCGGGCCTCGCTGGGACCCAGGCCCCTTTCCTGACTCAGGCCTTTCTGCCCATAGGACCCCCTGCCCGGTGCTCCGCCTCGGCCCCGCCCCGCCCCCAGTCCTTCAGCTGTTTCCCGGGAGAGGTGTGTGGGCAGGATGGGCCGGCGGTGGTGCGGGTGCTGTGTTGAGCCCAGGCCAGCTGAGCCGTGCAGTGCAGCCACGCAGGGCGCCTACCTGGGAGGTAGTGGGAGAGCATGGAGGCCTGGCAATGGCCTGGACTTTGGACTCGTGCCTCCGAGTTGGCCTCCTGGCAGGCTGCCCACGAGCCAAGTGCTGGTATTAGAAGGGGCTGGTGCAGGTTTAAGGAGGGTTATCCTGGAAGACCAAGACCCTTGGGGAGAGGTGGCAGTTGGAGGTGGGTATGACAGGTGGAGTTGGGTTAGCCTCAGCTTTTATTGGGGTTCTTGGTGGAGGAGAGGTCCTGACTGAATCCTGTGTTAAAGGTCCTTGCTGCTGGGAGGAGAGTGAGGCCAGGAGGGCCTGGGTGGCCGCAGGGAAGCTGGTGCATTGGTCAGGGCTGGAACTGTCCTTAGATACATTTGGGGATATTTACAGAGTTGCTGACCAATCCCTGACACTCCACATGAAGTGGTCAGGGAGCAGAGACCCTATAGCCAGTGCCATCAGAAAACAGACCCTATCATGTACCCACATGATCTCAAAGAAACACTATTGCTTCATAGTTTAAATAACCTCTCTGTTGGTAAGCCTATTGTACGCATGTGTGTGTGGTCCTGGGACTGGAACCCAGGGCCTCACTAGTGCTAGGCCAGCACTCTACCACTGAGCCACACCACAGCCCGGTGACTTAGCTTTTAATAAGAGAAACTAAATACTGATTGTATGAATAAACATCATCCAACACTTGTCCTTTCCCACAGCATTTGCTTGTGATATTTTTGTAGAAAATATCCTCAGGTATTCAAATTGGTACAAGTTTCTGTTTGCTATTATGTTGTGCCTGAAAAAAAAAAAGATGAGGTTAGGTATAAAATTATAATTTTGAAGTGGATTTCTAGTACTTTGAGGGGCCTCATACTTGGGCTGTGTGCAGATTAAATCTTGCCTGTTATGTACATGGGTTAGAAGTACGCAAGAGCAAGTGGACTACTATGTGGAATCTTAAAATTGTATAAAACAGTAGTGGGCCATTGGTGGAAACACACATTTGGGGAGCTTGAATCCCTAGCATTTGGGTTATTCCGGAGTCTGTTGTTTGAAGAGTAAGGCTCTGGCATAAACATCAACATTGGCCAGGGGCAAGGCAGTGCCACCCTACATGGCCAGGTTGCATCCTTATCTGCTTTTGATGTCTTGGTTTGGGCAATGTTGATTTTCATAACATACAATCTGCTTTTTTGGGTTTGCACCAATATTACTCAGCCATGTTCACATTCCAGATTAGGGGTGTTGAATCTTAAGTGCAAGCTTAGGTGATTTCAGCCTCATTAGGGTCACAGAGTATTCTTGGGGGCATGTCCCTATTTCCCTTTGCTTGCTGCTCTTTCCCTAGACAGTGGCCCAGGACTATAGTACCTGGGCTGGAGCTGGACTTATGTAGGGCACATGCTGCCAGGTTCTCCCTGTAGCAGAGGGAAGGGGCAGGCAGCGGCCAGGTGCTGATAGCCCACACTCTCCAGGGTGGCTGGGGGGCCCATTATTGAGGTTTCTCTTTGCCACTCTTTGATATTTAGGAGATTGGATTATTTTGGAGAAGGAGGCATGTGTCTGTGGTAATTAAGCACATCACCATTTTTTTTTTAGCTCTTTGGAAATAGAAATTCAGCTTTATGTTTTTTGAATAAATTCTAAGTAGTCAGCCGTGTATATTTTTGTGTGCATGCATGTACATCATTTTTAGTACCCTTGAAGGCTTCTTCCTCACCCTGAAGGGCAACACTGACCTCCAGAGATAATGACCACTCAACTTCTGTCATCACAGGTTTGTTTTGCCTAACCTTGAACTGCACATAACTGGTACCATTCCCCAAATACTGTTTTGTGTCTGGTAGACATGCCCTTTCTTTTCCTTTTTTGGCAGTATTGGGAATGGAACCCAGGGCCTCCTCCGTGCTAGACAAGTACTTTATCATTGAGCCATACCCCCAGCCCTTTTTATTTTGAAATGACATCTTGCTAAGTTTCTGTGGCTGGCCTGGAACTTGGGATGCTCCTGCCTCAGCCTCTTTGAGTAGCTGGGGTTGTAGGTGTGCACCACCCTGCCTGGCTTGGGGATGCCCTTTTAGTAAAATGTAAGTCTTCTATATGAAGCTAGAGCATTTGTATGTGGACTACAGTTGAGAGTGAGGAAATCAGAACTTCCTATGACCGCCCACACACACACACATACTCTCTCTCTCTCTCTCTCTCTCTCTCATACATGTGGATGTCAGTTCTGTTCTCAAGCCACTGCTCTGATAGAGCACGACTTCACAGTAAAACAATCTGGAACCTGAAAGGTCTGCAGTGTAACTTTTTTATTTTATTTTTGCTACTGGGGATTGAACCCAGGGGTACTTAACCACTGAGATACACCCCCAGCCCATTTTTAATGTTTAATTTTGAGACAGGGTCTTGCTAAGTTGCTGTGGCTGGCCTTGAACTTGGAATCCTTCTACCTCAGCCTTCAACTTCTGGGATTATAGGCATGTTCCAGCATTGCCCAGCCGCAGTGGCTCATGAAATCAGTTAAGCAGCTTCTATCCAAAAAAAAAAAAAAAGGAATAAAATAGAAAATTCAGAATACCGCTCATGAAGAGTAAGTATAGTTTAATGAGCCTTTTGTTTCAGTTGCATATGCAGATACAGTAAGTCACACAGGACCACTGGAGGCTGTAAACTGAGGGTGCTGTCTTGTTGTGTGCTGTGGAGGTAAGCAGGACTGCCTTTGTCTGTCCTGGCTAGTGTTGGTGTTTTGTGAGCTCTCTGGACTTCTTTTTTTTTGGAGGTGGGGTCTTGCTGTGTTGCTCAGTCTAGCCTCAAACACTTTTTTTTTTTAATATTTATTTTTTAGTTATAGGTGGACACAAAAATCTTTATTTTTTAATTTTTATGTGGTGCTGAGGATCGAACCCAGTGCCTCACGCATGTTAGGTAAGTGCTCTACCTCTGAGCCACAGCCCCAGCCCAGGCCTCAAACTCTTGAGCTCAGGTGATCCTCTGGCTTCAGCCTCCTGAGTAGCTGTGACTGTAGGTACATGCCACTGCACCAGCCTCTCAAAGACATTTTTAAAGATATGCCACCAACAGGGGTGGGCACACATGGTGTGGAGAGCACATCCACCTCAGGATAGAGACAAGTGTTTTCTCTCTCCAGGGGACCTTGGGCATGTGGAGCCCCAGCATCACTTCTGTTGGGTGCTCAGGGGAGTGGACTCTGTCATATGGATGAGGTGTCATTGCATTATAAATTTAGAAGTGTTGGTTGAAATTGGGTAGTGTCCAGCAGATGTAAGATGACCCATAGGATCTTGTCACTTGTTCTACAGTGTCAGACCAGCCTAGGACAGTGAGAGCAGCTCTTGGTTTCTGCCCTCTGCAGGTCTTTGAGAGGCTCTGCAGTGACCTAATGGCTTGGAAGTCTGTGCCTTCTGCCATGGAGGGTGCTGGTCCTGTAGATGTGGGGTTGGAGTGTTGCTTGGAGATGTGTAAGTTGTTTCCAAGAGTGAGCAGGGGTGTAGCAACTTCTGGGGCCACAGGATTTCTGAGTTAAAAGTGCTTCCTGTTCAGGGGCTGTCGTAGTTGCCCCTTTCCAATGGTTTGTAGGTTTGAGCTCTGGATGTTCCATTTTTTTTTTTCTTTCTTTTAGTAATTTTTTTGCATAGAGGTTTGATGTGAGGTCTCTGGAGGTAGTTGTCCATAGGGACCAGCCATGTTGGCTGCTGGGGGTCTGAAAACACAGCAGTTCCTGTTGTGTGGTGTGTGTTGTGGGATTATTTTAATATATGTAATCAAAATTGTGGTGTGCTTGAAGGAATAGTAAACAGCTCATAAGTCAGGTAGCCATCTTCAAAATCAGCTGGTATACCTTGACAAGCTGTGTTACTGTGTCCAGGAACATTCTGTCAGTGCTTAGGTCACTCAGTGACCTCCCAGGGCCACAGGCACAAGGAGCAGGCCCGAGTATGCACCGTGTGGGCAGTGAGGGCATGTTTAAAGGAGGGGCCCGAGGCTCAGTGTGTTTGGGACAGCAGTGGACACCAGTGGGGTCGGGGTCACGGTGAAGGTGGTGGGGTCTGTAACTAGTTTTCTTCTGAGTGCGCAGGACACCTTAGGTGAGGGCTTCCATCTGGCATGTGTTGGAGAAAAGCAGGGGACAGGGTGGAGATGAGAGGGGCTAGTACTGCGGGTGTGGGAGGCAGAGTGGGCAGAATTGGCTGGTGCTTGAGCAAGGAATGGACCCAATCTTCTGGGTTTGGCAAGTCCCTAGCAAGTGCCAAGTGGTCTTGAGACTAGAAAGTCCACTTTCTGGGGCAGCATCCAGGACAGAGACCAGAGAGGAGGAAGGAGGGGCATTAGCAGCCTCCTGGGTCTATCTGGGACTGTCTAGTCACTGGGTCTGCTGCAGGTGAGCAGTTGTGGGACTGAGTGACCTGCACTGCTGGGTCATGACCACACAACAGTGCTGTTTACCTCACCATAGTCTTGCCACCAGTGATGTGACTGCTGGGTGAGGCCCTGCTGATGCCAGGATCAGGGTGACCTAAGGCATTGAGGGCCACCAGGACACCCTTGATGACTTGGACCTTGGGCAGGCAAATTGATAGGGTCTGTAGCCAGGTAGACCCGCACAGCCCAGCTGAAGAGAGTAGTCAGGCTCCAGGAGGCAGCAAGGGCCCTGGCTAGGGCTGTTGTCCATGCACAGGGCAGTCAGCATGCCTGTTGCTCCTGCAGCGGAAGGGGAAACATATTTGCATCTTGAATGTTGGAGTAGTTCTGAGAGCTGATTCCTTAAATAAAACATGACCAGAGTTTTGCTCTGAAGAGATTCTTGGGAGCGTATTGCTTCAAGCTGCTTGCAGCCTCTCTGGCTTCCCTACTTCTTCTAAGGAGTTTCCTCAGACACCAGGCCCTCCTTCCTACTCCTTGCTCCAGGGCATGCACCCACTGCCACCTGGGTCCGCCCCTCAGCTGTGTGCTATGTTGGGAGTGCCCCCATTTACCCTCTTATCCTCACTTGTACAAGCTTGCTCTTCTGCCTGAGAGGTGACCTGATTCCCACATCCTTCTTACCAGGAGGGGCCCTGAGAACAGCATAGTCAGAGCTTGGTCCCAGTCTGTAGGCTGCTTTTGGAAGGGGATTGTGGCAGGGAAGCTGTCCTTAGCAAGCAGCATGCTCTTGGGGCTGTGGCCTGCCAGGTGTGAGGTTGTGAGCAGCAGTCCTGCTTGTCTAGTCAGAGGTGTCCTGCTGCAGCTTGGGGAACCCAGGGCTCCCCATGTCTGTGCTGCTGTCCAGCTGCGTTTCTGGTTCACAGCTTCTCATTGGTGCCTGTGACATGGATGTTTCTGTGCCCACTGGACCCAACACATGTGAATTGACTTCACTTTAGCCAGAAGCTCTGAGATCTGTGTACCTGGGCTTTACTAAATTGCCTGGGGCAGGGGTGCTTGTCCTCCCCTCTGCTCCTGAAAATGTTGGCAGAAGAGAGGGGTCCAAGGCCATGATTGGGAACTTTGTAGTAAATTGTCCTTTCTGGCCCCCTTTTCCCCTGCCAGGGAGTTCAGGGGAACTGAACTCATGGAAGTTGCTGCCAAGATTCGAGACAGGGCTGCTGTCTGGGAGGAGAACGCTTGGCAGCTAGGTGCTGTTTGCTTTTCCTCTCTGCCTGATCAGTGGGTCTTGGCATCCTTGCCCATCATCATCCAGCCCGAAGCAGATGCCTCTTCCCGGGCTTCTGCATAGTGAGGCCTCCTGATGGGCAGGGAAGAGAGAAGCCTGCTCAGTCTGGAGCAGGAACCCAGTGGAGACTGTCGTGCTGGAGGGTGAGGGAGGTGGGCGGGTGAGGAAGTGCTACAGTTCATCAGAAAGGAGAATGGGGTGGGGGCGGGGGTAGGAAGAGGCAGCTCTGCAGGTTCAATTGGCAGTCTTTAGAAGAGGCAGAAGAAATGGGCACCAGACGCTGGGCAATCCAAGTAAAGCTCCTCTGTGGGGCTTACTGAGGCCAAGTACCAACAGGTGCCAGGGCTGAGCTGGCACACAGGAGCTCTGTGGTTAGCCTGGATGGTGCAGGGACTGAGCAAACAGGGAGCACAATGGCTGGTGCCTAGCCAGCTGCATTCCCTGCCCAAGGGGCTGCCTCTGGGCACTGTCTAGGACCTGACAAACTGTCAGGTGGGCACCATCCCCAAACACGCTTTTTGTAGGACTATGGGCACAGAATGGAGGATGGTGTACTTTAGTGTAAGCCAGAAGGTGCCTGTTTTCCCAGCCAGGGTTCATGCCAACAGAAAACCCGTGGTCATGGTCTGCGTGTGCGCCAGAGTATGGCCATCACCCTCTCTGAGCTGCAGGTTCCACATCATAACAGGAGATTGGACTAGCCTGTCACCAAGGCTCCCAAGAGCTCTGTGCTAGGTCCCCGTTACAGGTTTGTGCAGATGCAGTAGTTCAGACCCTTTACCACTTGCTACTGGTGGGCTCCATCGCCTTCATTTTTCCCTCCAGAGGTTTGTTTGGGAATTGAAGCGTAACGTGGGCTGTGTTCTTCCTTAGGGCTTCGTGACGTGTAGGGGATACAGCTCTCATGGCTGCAGCCAGTGTGACACCCCCTGGCTCCCTAGACCTGCTGCAGCCTGGCTTCTCCAAGACCCTCCTCGGGACCAAGCTAGAGGCCAAGTATTTGTGCTCTGCCTGCAGAAATGTCCTACGGAGGCCCTTCCAGGCCCAGTGTGGCCATCGCTACTGCTCATTCTGTCTAACCAGCATCCTCAGGTGCGCATGGCCAGCTACCCAGGATGGGTGGGGACAGGTGGGTGGCACTTTTGCTTGAGATGTGCCCCCCAGTGTGGTCGCTCCCAGTATGAATCCTCCCTGGGTTCCAGAGGCTTAGCACAAAGAATGTGAAGTTAATCATTTATTGTTTGTTGAAATGCTAATTTCAGATATGTGGGGTTAAATACAATATATCATTAAGATGTCTCTCACCTGTTTTTGGTTGTTGGTAATGAGTGTACCAGAGTTTCTAAATTTGATGTGAGGCTTACGGCTCTCTACACTGCTCCAGATGGGCAGGGCATGTCACTCCTTGGTAGTGGCTGGTTGGTGTGTGTTGGCTATCCAGTGGTCTAAGGGTGAGCTCTGTGCCTGACAGTGGCAGAAAACCCGTGGTCATGGTCTGCGTGACAGTGGCCGTGCCTCTAGGGAGGGCATCTGCAACATGTACTTTTGGGTGGCTTTTCAGAGAGCGTGTGCCTCGTTCACAGCAGAGTCACAAGTCACAGCCTCAGAGGTCCAAGCTCCATGTCCCTTTCAGGGTTTGAATTGTCTCATTTGTTTGAAATCTTTTAAATACTGTACATTTGATATATGCTGTTGATTTCATTTAAGGTGAGAAAGTGCTGGGCACAGTGGTGCACACCTGTAATCCCAGTGGCTTAGGAGGCTGAGGCAGGAGGATTGCAAGTTCAAATCCAGCCCCAGCAATTTAGTGGGGCCCTGTCTCAAAATGTAAAAATGGGCTGGGGATGTGGCTTAGTAGTTAAGTGCTGTTGGGTTCAATCTCTGGTACCGAAAAGAAAAGAAAAACGTGAGAAAATTTTAAGAATTTATGGGGGGCTGGGGTTGTACATAGTGGGAAAGTGCTTGCCTAGCATGAGTGAGGCACTGGGTTCCATCCTCAGCACCACATAAAATAAATAAATTAAATAAAGGTCTTGTGTCCATCTACAATTAAATGACTAAAAGAAGAATTTATGGTGTGGAATTTATGGACTGGGCAAATTCTGTTCATTTTTTTTTTTTTTTTTTCTTTTGGTCTTGGGTATTGAACCCAGGGGTGCTCTACCACTGAGCTACATCCCTAACCTTCTTTATATTTTGAGACAGGGCTTTGCTAAGTTGCTGATGCTGGCCTTAAGCTTGTGATTCTCCTGCCTCAGCCTCCCGAGCCACTGGAATTACAGGCACGGGCCACCATGCCAGACTTAATTTTTGTGTTTTAAGACAAAGTTTCATTAAATTGCTGGAGCTCGGGTTATGGCTCAGTGGTAGAGCACTCGCCTGGCGTGTGCAAGGCCCTGGGTTTGATCCTCAACAGCACCTAAAAATAAATAAATAAAAATAAAGGCATGGTGTACAACTAAAAGAAATAAATATTAAGAAAAAAAGAGTTGCTGATTCTGGCCTCGGACTGGAGACCCTTCTGCCTCAGCCCCCAAGTGACTGGGATCGCAGGTGTGGGTACTACACGCACACAACCCTGCATATTGGTCTGTTCAGCTGCCTAACACACACCGTGAACAGACAGCAGGAATTCACTTCTCACCAGGATTACAGGTGTGCACTACCATGCCTGGCCTGTTTGTTCTTTGTAATAGTTTTTACAGTGGGTTTCTGTTTTCCTCTGTTCCCAGCAGCTCTGGGCCTCAGAATTGTGCTGCCTGTGTTCATGAGGGCATATATGAAGAAGGCATTTCTATTTTAGAAAGCAGTTCGGTAAGTACAACATCTTAAAGCTAAAAATGTTGAAGTTACAAGAAAATATTTTGGAATTTCCTTTAATAACATCAGTGGCAGAATGAGACCTTAGAAGCTAGAAATTGCCCATGAGCAGACATGAATGTTCAGGGTTGGTGCACAGAGGTGAGGTGGTCCTCAGAGTTATCCTCTGCTTCTGGAGCTCCTCAGGAAGACTGTGCATGTTGAGTCCTGCGCTTTGGACAGCACTTCAATAGCAGCTGGGTGCTGGGAGGAGGCCTAACCCCTGGCTTTCTTCTTCCCAGGCTTTCCCAGATAATGCTGCCCGCAGGGAGGTGGAGAGCCTGCCGGCCGTCTGTCCCAATGATGGGTGCACTTGGAAGGGGACCCTGAAAGAATATGAGGTAAAGACAGGTATTCCTGTTTTGCTGGGCGGCTCCAAGAGGCCCGCAGGTATGTTGGGTGGCTGAGCCAGGGAGTTGAGATTTCTGCCCTTCACAGGAGCTCTGACTGGAACTGTGCTCTGCTCTTGGTGGGATGGAGCCTGTCTGATGTGTTTGGAGAGATACAGCTCAGAGGTATAGCTTAGAAATGTTCTTTCAGAAACTCAAACCGTGTTGTGCATAGGCCTGTACCACGGGGTCTGATACTTCCCCTCTCTGTGCCTCAACTTCTTTGTCTGCTCATAGGATGTAGCTCCCCTTGTTGTGGGGTTGGTGAGGACTGGAGGTGTGTGAAGACCACCCATGTGTGTGAGGTCGTGGGGTCATGCTAGCCCTGGAGAGTGTTTGCTTCAGCCGTAGGTTTACCAGCAGTGGCGAGCAGCTTCCAAGCCTGGTAGGGTTTTGCGTTGTATCCCTTGTGTCTACAAGGTATCCCTTGTTGTTAATCTTGTTGGGACTGGAAATGGGCACAGAGGTTCTGTGATCTCAAAAGGCTTCTGGCCAGTGACAGTAGTGAATGGTGCCTGATTTATGCACTGTCTCTGTGTCAGCTGAGGCTGACTCGTCCTATGTCAGCATATTGGGGACTTCATTGTGATCCTCACCTCATCTTTAGGCATCTGCAGCTAAACCTTCAGTGTGAGCTGACAGGTGCTGAGAGCTAGTTCGGCCACTGCAGTCCACCAACTTACTCATTCTTTCTCATCTTAGTAAATGCCCTTTTAAAAGTTTCTATCTCAGGTGCTAGTTCCGAACGTTTCACAGCAGTAGACTGTCCACAGTAGTTCAAGGTGGAAACAGCCTAAGCATCCACTGGCGCCTGATGGATACATAGCACATGGTCCTTCCATACTATGGAGCGTTGTGCAGCCTTAAACAGGAAGAGACCTGTGACACCTGCTACAGCCTTGAGGACAGCATGCTGAGTGAAGAAGCCAGCCACAGAAAGACAAACCCTGTAGGATTGCCCTCGTATGATGTCCTTAGAGTCATCAAATCCATGGAGACACACAATAGAATGATGGGTACTAGGGGATGGAAGTTGTACCACGTTGGTGGGTGCAGAGTAATAAATTGGGATCTCAAAGGGGGAGGCATCTTGATGCAATCCCATCCAGTCCTGGGTGGTGAGATTGTGAAGGACTGTTTGCTCAGAACCCTGACTTTTCTATGCGCACGGGACTCCCAGGTCAGGTTGCTGGGGCCAAGGCCCACTGGGATGCCTTCATGCCCTGGTAGTGGGCCTGGGTGTCTCTGACTGAGCGGGACTCTGGGGCAGTTGGAATCCTGGTTCCTGGTGGGTTTTTCCTATTTTGTTCCCTGTTCTTGTTTTTTCCAATATTTTAAATGTTTTGGTGCTGGGGATCAAACCCAGGTCCTTGTGAATGCTAAGCACACAGTTTATCGCTGAGCTATCCCCAGCCCCTCCTGCATTGTTTTTTTAATTTATTTTTATTTTTTAGTTGTAGTTGGACACAACCTTTATTTTATTTATTTTTATGTGGTGCTGAGGATTGAACCTAGGGCCTCACACTTCCTAGGTGAGTGCTCTACCACTGAGCCACATCCCTCATTGTTTTGATCAACTCCACTTTGTGATCTTTGGGTTATCAGTTCTGTTTTGCCAGAAGAACAATTTGGGCTGTACCTGGGTGAACAAAAGCTGCACTGTCCTCACCAGCTTGGGGTCTGTCACAGCCTGATCATGTGGTCACAACCTTCGCTGTTTGCCAAGTGAACTACTGTTCAGTGCTGTTGAGAGAGCTGGTCCCTACGGAGCTGATATGGGATCAGGGTCTTCTGGGAGGGTGGGATGCTGGGTGGGTACAAGGACAATGTGGGCATAAGCATCTGGGGTGCTGTATGTCCTGTTGCCCTTAAGGGACCCTGGAGATCCCTTAGAGCAGGCAAAATAACAGTCCCCAGCTCTGTGCTAGCTCTGGATCCCTCTGTGGTCTCTGTCGCCTCTAGGCTCGTGGTAGGTGAGGTTAGTGGCTATGTGGGCCTCAACTGAGGGCTAGGGATAGCAGCCAGGCATGGGCTTGGGTGCCACGCGGCCCCACAGGCATGCAGGATGGAAAGTCCCTGGCTTTGCCCTTTGAGGGCTCTGGAAAGTCCCTGAGAGGAGTTGGGTTTGGTCATGTGGGAGGGGCAGGCACTGCTCTGGGGCAGCTTGGCCATGGCCTGATTTTGTTGATACAACCTCTTCCTGGCAGTAAGTGTCAGGGGCAGGGACAAAGATCTTGTTCTCTGTAGAGTCTCCCTCTCCTCTTGCCCAGCCCACATCTATTGCTTGACTGCAAAAGCAGTTTTCTCTTGATAGTCTGGGCTATTGAAAAGTTGGAAAAATGACAGAAGTTCTGTTTAGCCTTTGGCTCTGTTTTTCCTTTTGGTGATGTCTTTCCTTCAAAGAATGGAATGGTTTTAAAAAGCCCCACGGTCTGAGCTATCTAAATGGCTGTAGAGAGCCTCTGGTCAGGTGGTCCCACTACTGCTGTAGGGCTGAGTGCAGGGGCTGGGTGGTGGGCACAGAGGCCTCTCAGATATGGGTGTGCACGCGAGCATGGGAGAGGCAGGAGTAGCCAGTGTGCTTGGTCTCATCCCGTGTTGTGTTGTTGGGAAATGCAGCATTACAACAACTGTATTTACTTGAAAATTAAAGTCAAATTCTGGTTGAATAAATACTGTTATCTACCAGGTGTGGTGGTAGTACATGGCTGTAATCTCAGCAACTTGGAGGATGAGACAGGAGGATCACAAGTTTGGGGCCAGTCTCAGCACCTTAGCAAGACTTTGTCTCAAAAATTAAAAAGCGCTGGGGGCACAGCTCAGTGATATAGTACTTTCCTAGCATGAGCAAGGCCCTGGGTTCAATTCCCAGTACCACCAAAAAAATAAAAAAGAAAAGAGAAAAGGAGCTTTCTGGAATTCTGTGTGGGCTGAAAGGAGACTGCACTTGGTTCTGGTTGCCTAAGTGTGGTGGTACAGCACATCTGCTGTCGAGAACCCTGGGCTCACCTGGGAATTTCAGGAACCATCAAGGGAGATCAAACCCAGGCCTTGCACTCGCTCAGCACACACTCTACTGGTGAGGTACACCCTCAGCCCAGGAGAAAATTTTTATGTATTACTGTGGCTTCATGCACAGCAAGTGTGAGCAGGGAGCAATAAGCTGAGAGTGGGTCAGCGTGGGAGCTCCTGGCCCTGTCACCTGCAGCAGTGACCGTCCTTTTCCAATCCTCTTTCAGCTATATCCTCTACCACATTTCCCTTCTGGAAACACATATCGTATCATTTCACCTATGAGTATTTCGTTTATTTATTTTTTGTGGTGATGGGGGTGGAAGTCAGGGCCTTGTGTATGTTAGGCAGGTACTCTACCTCTGAACTATATCCCCAGCCTTATGAGTAATTTATTTTTTAATACCTTTATTTTATTATTTTTATGTAGTGCTGAGGATTGAACCCAGTGCCTTTCGTGTGCTAGGTAAGCACTCTACCACTGAGCTATGACCCCAGCCCCACAAGAATTTTATTTTAATAAAGTTTTAAAGAATAATTTTTTAATTTTTTATTGGTACTGGGGGTTTAACCCAGGGGCACTTAACTACTGAGCATGTCCCTAGCCCTTTTTATTATTTATTTATTTATTTTTAAGAGAGAGAATTTTTTTAATATTTATTTTTTCAGTTTTCAGTGGACACAACATCTTTATTTTATTTTTATGTGGTGCTGAGGATCGAACCCAGTGCCTCGTGCATGCCAGGCAAGTGCGTTACTGCTTGAGCCACATCCCTAGCCCCCTTTTTACTTTTTGAGACAGGGTTTCACTAAGTTGCTGAGGCTGCTTTGAACTTAGAACCCTCCTGCCTCAGCCTCCTGAGTCACTGGTGTAAACCAGTGTGCCTGGCAAAGAACAGTTTTTGATTTAAGTTTTAGTAGCTTAACTATTCATGCTTCACTTTTTGTTTCATACACTGCTAAAGGTCAGTAGCCCCTGAGGTCCCTCTGCTCAGTTTGCTGATGGTTGCATATGTAGCGGCCCTTAGTGTGTTGGCATGTACTCTCAAAGCTGCATTGTGGGATCATGCACACAAGCGTGTCCATGCTGGCCAGAGACACCCCTAAAGCCCAACCTCTTTGACCTGATGATTCTTGGTATGGTTGTCCCAGGCCCTGTGCTTCCCAGCTTGTGGGAGGCCCTGTCACTCAGGCTGTAGCTCAACTGCTTACAGATCTCCATCCCTGGGGAAAGGGCTGTTTTCTGAGAGCCTTGAAAATGCTGCTCCATAGACAATGGCTTTCCTGTCTAGAATCCCACCTGCTTCCCAGAACTTGAATGAGGTTGCCCCGTTCCTTTAGAATGACCTTACTCCAGAGTCGTCCAGGAAATCCTGGGTTGTAGCCCTAGTCCTTGTGGAGGTACTGAACCACCACAAGGGGCCCTGCAGTCAAGTCCTTTCTTGTTTACTGTGGACCATCTCTTGGCCATAGGCATGTTCCATCTTTGATGTTATTTCCCCTCTCCTGGTTGTGCCGTCACACTTGGTATGCCCTGCTATCTCCTGTTCAGATCCTCACCTGGCACTCAGTGGGATGAGCCAGGCACAGAAGGACCTGTCCTTTGGGATTCATTTGTTAGGTCTCCACAGCCTTCAGGTCCATAGAGATACAGTACAATGGAGATTTCCAGGGGCTGGGGAGAGGAGGTCAGTATTGATGGGTTCAAGGGGTCAGTTTGAGAAGATGAGTGCTATGGATGGATGGCGGCAGTGACTGACAGCTGCCCAACAGTGTAAATGTGTGAGTGCCATTGAATTGTGCACTTAAAGTAGTTAGGATGGTAAGTTGTATGTATTTTTATCCCAAATTAAAAGCTTGCCAACCAATCTTGGGCTCTGTGCTCCCAGTGACCCTCCAGTGCTGCCTCACAGTGTACTTGTCTCAGGCTTGTGGTACTGGTTTTTTGCATTTCCCTGGCATCTGCAGGCTGGCCTCATTCCCCCTGTGGCTGGGGACCCAGAGGCTCGGGGCCTGCTAGACTTCTGTCCTACCTAGCCCAGCATGCTGAGTATGCAGTCCTCGAAGGGCTCAGCTCGGTCTTGTCGCTTTTCTTTCTAGAACCCTCACAGTAAGGCATCCCTGGGACCATCTGTGAGGACCAGACCAGGGCAGCCTTGGGCCTAAGAGGTCCCTGGATGGGTTCTTGCTCTGCCTTCTCCCTCTGGGTTCTTTTACACATTGCCAGCCCTTCCCTGGGACCATGTAGGCCCCCCTCATCCAAGTATTGGCCTGCAATTTGGGGTTCTTGCCTTCTCTAGACTGCAGCACAGGGTGCTTTCCCCAGCTCTGCCTCATCTCCAGCACCTTGTCTTTGCTCACTGGGGAGGGTGTTCCCATGTTGGTGGTCAGTGCCACAAGTGACTCATCTGTGTTCATGGCCCCACATGGCTTATGGTTGGCTCTCAGTGTGTTGGGACCAGTGAGTGGGCTCTGCGGTGGTCCCTGCTTCTCACTCTGGTCCCCTCGGCCCGGCCCATTTTCCTCACAATGTAGGTCTCCTCAGGTATAATTGCCGGGTTTCTGTTCTTGCGACTAAAAGGCTCAGGGGTTACTTCAGTTGAACTGGGCTGATTGGGCTGCACAAAATAACCTCACAAGAGACACAAATACCTTTTTGTTTGGGGTCGCTGTGACGGCTCTTCTGACCTTAAGGGTCCACAGGAGAGAGAGCAAGAGCACGCGCTGATCCCTTTTATTGAGAAAAAGCTATTCAAATGAGGCAAGGGGTCAGGTTCAGGGGGCTGAGTCTATCCTCATGATGTCCACTGTCAGCAGGTTGACTGACACCTGGGTAGGCCACACCCAAGGGCACAGTAAGAGAAGGGGACACACACAAGGCACTTCCATGGAAGATTCTGTCCTAAACAGGGCAAGGGGTTATTTAACAAAGGAACAGGTGAGCGTAGCTCCACCCATGGGGCTATAGGAAGACACGCCCATGCATGAGACATGGACCCTCGAACCCAAGAAGGGTGGGGAAAGCTCTGCCACATTTCTGTGACTGAGCGCCTCAGCACCCAGCCGGGGAGTGTGACTCAGTCACGTGCAAGGTTGGTCTCCCACATGTAATACTGTGCATTTAAAACAGCCCCACCAGGCCTGGCCTCCAGCACCATGGCTGGGCTGGTCTTGGGCCTTTGTCTTTTGCTGGGTGACCTGGTGCTAGTTGCAGGGTGGCCACTATCTCAGTGTCTCCATGTCTCTGGGCGTGGCCTCTGGCTCCACTTATTCACTGTAACTGAGGGCTGAGGCATGACCTGCTTGCTTGGTAGGAAGCTGTCTTGGGGAGACCCTGGTACCAGGTGCGCATTCAGCTATTCCAGAGGTGAGGGCAGAGACAGGGAGCCTGGGTGGTGGTGCCCACCCAGACAGCAATTGTGGTGTCACCTTGGCTCAGTCTGGGACAAGGAGTGATCCATGTCCCTGGCATCTGGGAGTGGGGGGGGCACATTGGACCTCCACTGTCCTTTTGACTTGTGGAGGGGATCTCCAGGAGGGACAGCAGCACAACCCAGGGATGCGATGCTGTGTGCTCGGGTTGCTGTGCTGTGGTGTCTGCCTGTGCTCTGCTGATGCCTTCTTTGTCTCTAGAGCTGCCACGAAGGACTCTGCCCCTTCCTCCTGACTGAGTGCCCTGCGTGTAAAGGCCTGGTCCGCCTTGGGGAGAAGGAGCGCCACGCGGAACAGGAATGCCCAGAGAGGAACCTGAACTGCCAGCACTGCCAGGAGCCCTGTGGCCATGCTGACCTGGAGGTGTGCGGGGCAGGGCAGGACCACAGCTTGGGTTCAGTGCCAGTGGTGGAGCTGGTTTGGCTCCTCTGCCTTTGTTCCCACAGTGTCAGCTTTCCTGAGGCCATAGGGTGGAGGGTTCTTGGTGGGACTGGGCTTGGGCGTAATATCCATGCGGAGCAACTTTAGAAAAGGTTCAGGCACTCAGGTGTGGGGTAGTGCATCACCACCACCAAGCTGTCCCTCCCCAGACTGCTAGCCAACAGGTCTTACATGGCATCCCCGAGTGGTCGCAATCCAAAGGGCCTGGAGCGCAATGCATTGTGGCCATGTCTCCTATGGGTAGCTTTCCCTTCTAACAAGTACCTGAGGTAATCCACTTACAGAGAGAAAGGTTTATTTGGGCTCTGGAGTACATGGTGGAGTAAAACTTCTGGGAGAGGGAAGGGAGGAAGAGGGAGGTGTTGGGCTTTCATTACTCCTTGGGGTGCACATCCCCAAGGGACCTAAAGTCCTCCCCTAGGTCTGTCTTTGTGTGTGTGGTGCTGGGGATTGAACCCAGGACCTTGTTGCCTGTAAGGCACGCACTCTACCAGCTGAGCTATGTCCCCAGCCCTATCTTTTTTTCCAGTTCTGGGTATTGAACCAGGAGTGCTTAGCCACTGAGCTACATCCTTAGTCTTTTTTTTTTTTTGAGACAGGGTCTTGCCAAATTATGAGGCTAGCCAGGAACTTGTGATCCTCCTGCCTCAGCCTCCCAAGTCACTGGGGTCATAGACGTGGCCACCATGCCCAGCTTAGGCCCCACCTCTTGAAGGTTCCATCGCCTCCCCTCAGTGCCATGCTGGGGACTAAGCCGGCCACCATCTGAGACTGTTCAGTCTCTTCCTCCCTCACTGCCTAGTGCCTGGCATTGATGTCCCCTCCTCACGCCCCTGACTGCTTCTCTTCAAGGCACACCATGAAGTCTGCCCCAAGTTCCCTTTGACCTGTGAAGGCTGTGGCAAAAAGAAGATCCCTCGGGAGAAGGTAAGGTGCTTCCTTATGTCCTGAGGACCTTGGCTTAAGGGTTTGCAGTGAGGGTCTATGCCACATGATGTGCCTAGAGACAACAGAAAGCCTCCCTGCTGCTGGGATCACGGGATGGGCATGGCTTGCTCGGGCATGACAGCCACCCTCCTGGTTGAGCCAGTGCTCTGCTTTCTGGCATACCTTGTTACTTTTTTTTTTTCCCTTGTTGGGGATGGAGCCTTGAGTATACTGGATAAGTGCTCTACTACTGAGCTATATCCCCAGCCAAAGTTACATCTTAATTATTGTGAAAATTAAACATTAAAGTTGTCCTTGCCAGGTGCAGTGGCGCGTAATCCCAATGGCTTTGGGGGTCTGAGGCAGGAGGACCGTGAATTCAGAGTTAGCCTCACCAACAGTGAGGTGCTAAGCAACTCAGTGAGACCCTGTCTCTAAATAAAATACAAAATAGGGCTGGGGATGGGGCTCAGTGGTTGAGCACCCCTGAGTTTAATCCCCGGTACCCCTGCCCTCCCCCCAAAAAAGTTGTGCTTGCACCTGAGAAGTGCTGTACTGGCCTCAAGCAAGGGGTCTGCAGCAGGAGACCAGGGTGTGGAGACCTCAATGTCTGGGGTCCAGGCATTCATCTCCTCGCATGCTCGTCCTGTGAGGAGGACGGCTCCTTCCCTGCATAGAGCCAGTGCTGTGGAGGAAGACCCCGCGAGGAGGGACTTTGGGAATGCTTGCAGAAATGTACTTTGCCACACCTTTCTTCTTGGCTTGTGAGGTCAGGGAGGGGATGAAGAGGCTGAAGCTGCAAGAGCTGGCGTGTGACTGCATTGGTGTTAGAGGTCAGATGACGCCAGTGGTTGCATTTTGTGTCTGGATGGCAGCACGAGGGACTGTAGACTGTCCAAGCCCATCCTGTTCTCTTGGCCCTTCAGCTGGTGCCTGTCTGATTTGCTTCCATTTAAATACGGGTCATGGCCCTAGTCCTGAAATGGGTTGCTCTGAGGGCCAGGTCTCTCTTCTCTGATTGAGCTTCCTGTTGAAGGTTCTCCTGTTGCCTTGGCTGAGTGCTTCCTTGAGGTGGCATTTGGCCTTCACCAGGGACTGGAGCTGGCTCGGGGGCTCAGTGAAGTTCAGCTTCAACCCTTGATGGAATGTTATAGAGGGCCTGTGATGGGTGTGGTGGCCAGGGTGCCTCCTGGTATCCAGTGCTGTGAGGCTGTCTGCTGTGGTGGCAGGTGCTGTCCCAGCTGGGTGTAGTCTGCAGTGTCCTCTATCGGTGCCCATCCACCAAAGCCAGGATGGATCCTCTCCCTGTGGTTTTCCATTATAGAGTGAGAGAACTGGCCTGGACCAGCAGGTCTGGTGGGCTTTGTTCCTCTCTCCTGTCTTTAGGGTATGTAGCTTTCCATACTCATCTTCATCTTCATACTCAGGGCCCTCATCCTCAGGTGCCCTGGGTCTGTTTCTCACAGGTCACTCACCTGTGCAGTACCCAGTGCCAGTGTGTGGCTCTTCTAGAAAGTCCCCATCCAGGCCTGGAGCTCAGTCCTTGGTGGAAAGTGACATTTAGGGGCCTCAGTGTCAGTGCCCTATGCTCCTCTGACTGTCTGTGTTCCTAGGCCTTTTCAGAGGAGAGAGCAAAGAAGGAGTTCACACTGCTGCTTCTAAGAGTGAGGGGACTGGATACTGCAGGGCTTGTAGGGATGCAGTGATTAGGTGGAGAGTCAGGGCCCTGGCATGTTAGGATGGCAGGACTTGCCATGCTGCTGGACTCTTGGGGAGCAAGAGACCCAGCTCTGTAAGAATTTTCTTTCTCTCTCTAATTTTTATTTATTTTTTATATATATAACATACATACTTATATATATTTATATATTTGTATTGGGAATTAACCCAGGGGTGCTTTACCACTGAGCCAGATCCCCAGCGCTTTTTAAAATATTTTTTTTCTTATCTTTATTTTATTATTTTTTTTAACGTGGTGCTGAGGATCGAACCCAGTGCCTCATGAATGGTAGGCAAGCACTCTACCTCTGAGCCACAACCCCAGCCCCGCTTTTTTTTTTTTTTAAATATTTATTTGTTAGTTTTCGGCGGACACAACATCTTTGTTTGTATGTGGTGCTGAGGATTGAACCCGGGCAGCATGCATGCCAGGCGAGCACGCTACCGCTTGAGCCACATCCCCAGCCCCCACAGCCCCACTTTTTAAAAAATTTTTGAGACAGAGTCTTGCTAAGTTGTCGAGGGCCTTGAACTTAGGATCCTCCTGTCTCAGCTTCCCAAGTCACTGGAATTACAGGCATGCACCACCATGGCTAGCTCTTTAAACTTTATATTCTGGTTGGAAATCCGACTTTTTGGCAGCATTAATAATAATTTGTTTGTTTTATTCTATGTGTATATAGATGATAGATTTAAAATGAAAGTACAATAAAAAGAGTGACGTTTACAATTTCTTTGAGGTCTATTTTGTCTTTGGAAGAATATCTTACTGGGGGTTGTGGTCCAAGTACTGCATTCTGAGGTCAGTTGTAATGCAAAATTTCTCTTTGTGTCCCCGACATATGCAGGCATACTGGCATATGGGTAGTTAATTTGCTTCAATTATTTTAAAGGTGGTGGATGTTTATCTTTTTATTTGCTTTTGATTTTTGGTCTGAAACACCTGCCTAACTCATCAAACCCTTTAAGGGTCCACTAGAGCAGTCCCATGCTGACAGCCTCTCTGGGCCCTGTCTACCCTGCTGCCTCAGGTTTTGGTGGTATCTTTCTCTCTGAAAGGAGAGCTGGGAGCTAGGTCTTTTCATGCCCATCAGTGAGGCAGGTGCTGGCCTTGGCTGTGGGCTTCAGGCCAGAAAAACCTGGGAGCAGTGGGCAGCCACAATGCCTTTACATGTGGTAATATATCTGCCACTGATGATGAGAGTGACAGTAACCCAGGCCAAGGTTTGCTGGGGGCACTGGGGGATGTCCCTCTCAAGCAGAGACTCAGGAGGCCAGACAGCTGGCTTGGTGGACCTGGACTCCACACATTTCCAGCTGTGCCTCCCCCCCACGTCCCCTTGCAGTAGGGTTCCGGTTTCCCAGCCGTTGTTGAGCTTTCTCTGGTACACAGGGCTCCAGAGTGGGGTGTCTGGTGGAGGGGCTCTCACTCCTGCTCCACGCTTTCCCACAGCCCAGTGTTTCACCTGAAAACATCTGTTTTTTTAGGGAAAAAAAAAAAAATACTCTGGGGCTTCATAGCAATTTTTTCATTCCAGATCTTTACCTGAGTTTTGGTCATGTCTCTTTTTTGCAGAAAACCCAGTCCTCGTGAATTGAACCTGGTGGCTTCTTTTGTCCCACTCAGTGCCCTAGCTCTTCACCAGCAGCAGTGTGAGTGCTGGCCATGTGGCTGGTGGCTGGCTTTTGATGGAATTGCTGTCTTTCTTTGCTCTGAGAATCTATAGGTTATGACTGTGTTTTGAAGCCACCAAAAGTAGTTCTCTGACTCATTGAGGCTGCTTATTTCATTTTGCTTTTGACTTTTAAAGATGGTACTTTAAGAAATGTTCCATACTTTTGTAAAACGGTCCTGTGCCCCAAAAACGAACCTGTAGAATGTGTGCTCCCAGATGTCCAGTGGTGTGTGTCATAGTGTTGGCCCAGTCCCCTGTGAGGCTCTGTCTGCAGACCTGCCCTTGGTGTGTGGTGTTGAGGGAGGCTCTGCATAGTACTTCCTAGAGTGAGTGCACTTGCGCTTCTTGCTGGGAGGCGCCATAGGAGGCTCCTCTCTGGTCCTTAGAGGTGCCAGGGGGTAGGGGTGGTGATCATTTGTTCTTCTGTGTTGCTTAATGGTGTGTTTAGCCCTCTATGTGGGGGCAGTGTCTGAGGACTCCTGTCACTGTTCCTGGATTCTGATGTGTAGTTGGGTGTACCCCACTCTGGGCCTCCTCCCAGGACCTGTAGGATGACTTTCTCATGGTGCAGCCTGCAAGTGGGGTAGGCAGGGCTCCCACATGGGCTCCGTCCTCCAGCTGCTGCCTCGCCCTCAGGCTGCTTGTCAAAGCAGCAGTCCTTTTCCTCCCCTGGTCTGAGTACAGTATGCACAATACCTGCACTGGGGCCTCTTCCTGGGTCTCGTGCACTCCTCCGTGGTCCATCTTTGCTCTCCTGCCGCATGGCACATGCTGAGGTTGTCAAAGGCCTGTCCTGTCCTCTGGCACTTCTAGGTTGTGGGCCCATGTGTGGCCCCCAAGGCCCCAGGGCCTCAGTGCCATGCATCCTTGCAACTGAAGGTGACAAAGTGTGGCTATTTTCTGTGGGACGCAGACTTCCTCATGAACACCCTGGACTACCCACCAGCATCCCGAGATGCCAGCCCACCTCAGTTACTGACAGGGCTGGTGGCCAGGATGTGTGTGTGCACAGCTTTGGAAATGGGTGGTCAGGTTTTATTCTGATGAGAGCTAGCCCGTGACGGTAGGGCCAGTGGTTCCCTGTGTAAACTCTGACATGATCAGTGCAGAAGGGGTGCAGTGGGGTGAGCTAAAGCAAAAGCAGCCCATGTGACTTCATCCCTTTCACCCCTCCAGTTTCATGACCACGTCAGGACGTGTGGCAAGTGCCGGGTCCCCTGCAGATTCCATTCTGTTGGCTGCCCTGAGATGGTGAGTCCAAGGGTCTGCAGTGAGAGATTGGGCAAACCTGTCCCTCATCCTGGGCACAGTCTTTACTCAGCCTGCAATGCAGATCTTCCTGGTTTCCCAACCTCCTTGCTTTTCCCCTGGGTCTCCCTTGTGGCACCCCTCCTCCTGGCCTCAGGTCCCAGGTCCAGCCTGGGAACTCCATTCACTCTCATTCTTTTGGAGATCGCCTAGTGTCCTGGCTTTAACCAAATGTGTGTGTTCACCTGGCACCTAAGCCTCCCTTGATGCCTAGTGGGCATCCCATATTCACCACAGCCAGCTTGACTCATCCTGCCATCCCCTGCCTTCCATCTCACCAGAAAAGAGCACCACCATCACCTGGTTGTTCAGCCAAAGGCCCTATGCCTGGCGGTTGTGCCAGATGTTGCTCTGGTCCAGACTTCACATCCAGGTGATAGACGCTTGACTGTTGGCAGCTGCACCCTGCCCCAGGATGGCTGCTCTGGTCTGTCCTTGCTTGCAGTCCCCGAGCTTCTCCATCCTCACCCCTCCCTCACCTTGGCCCTGACCTCTGCTGGTGACTGCTGATCTGTTCCCACCCCAGGCCCTTGACCTGCCAACTTCCAGGGGCCCCTCAGACCTCAGCATGCCCCTGTCCATGAGAACCTTTCTCTACCCATGCAGACCAACCTGTACCCTGCTCTGTTTTCACAGTCATTGTATCTTGTCCCTCTTGCTCTGTACAATGAGAGCCCCTTGAGGTCTAGGACTCTAGTTTTCCCTTGGGAGGTTCTGAGTGGGTGGGCACCCCGAGCACTTGCAGGTCTAGGGATAGTGTCCACCAGCTGATGCCTCTTCCTCTGGAAAATGAGCTTAGCAGCACTCAGTGGTGGCAGCAGTCATGGTGGGGGGTCCTGTCTGGTGATTTTTCACATAGCCTTTTGTGTTGAGCAGTGGTGAAGAGGAGAGCTGCTGTTGTCTAGGAGGAGTGGGGTTCCATGCAGGAGGTAGTTTTAGAGCCCACCACCAGGGCCAGTGCTGCTACTTTCTGGTCCCTGTTGTGGGCCTCTTCAGTACTCAGATTAACTCAGAATCCATCATGAGTTCATGGGTTGCTCCAGATCAGAGCAGTCTGGTAACCTAGTTGATCCAGCACTGATGCCCCTGCTGGTGAAGCCAGCAGGCTTCTGGGAGTTGCATTTCTTCATCACACACATCCTGTTCCCAACAACCTCATGCCTTGAAGAGAGGGCAGGTACCAAGGGCACCCTCTGCTTTTTGGGTGACTGTGCCTCTAACTGGGCATCCAAATGAGTACCTTTGTGTCTTTTTTTGTTTGTTTGTTGTTTAAATTGTAGATAAAAAAAAAACCCTTTTTTTTTTTTTAAGTTGTAGTTGGACACAATACCTTTATTTTTTAAATTTATTTTTATGTGGTGCCAAGGATTGAACCCAGTGCCACACACGTGCTAGGCAGGTGCTCTATCACTGAGCTACAACTCCAGCCCGCCCTTTCTGTTTTTTTACTTTTAATTTTTGAGAGTTTTAAACATTTTTAAGTTGTGTTGCAGAAGTTTGAAAGATAATTAGTTGCAAAGACAGACCTATAATAGAGGCATCCCTAAGAAAGCCTGGTGGTGTCTAGCCCTGCCTTCCCACCCTCCTGCAGGGACAGCTGTTTCTGTGCCTGGAGGCCCTCTTTTTTCCTTTGTCTGTTTATTTTGTGTTGAGTCAGGATCTCACCGTGTTGCTCAGGCTGGCCATAAGCTCCAGGGTTCAAGTGACCCTCCTGTGTCGCCTGCCTGAGTTCTGGAGCTAGAGGCATGCGCCACACTGTCCAGCTCACATTGTCCAGCTGCCTATTTATTTTAAAAGCAAGTTACATAGGAAGCTTTGTATTTTTTTTTTTTTTTGAGAGAGAATTTTTTTTAATATTTCTTTTTTAGTTTATGGCGGACACAACATCTTTGTTTGTATGTGGTGCTGAGGATCGAACCTGGGCCGCACGCATGCCAGGCAAGCGTGCTACCACTTGAGCCACATCCCCAGCCCGGAAGCTTTGTATTTTTGAAACATACTTTTGGACAGTGGCAGATTAAACATCATGATACAGAGAAAAAGGATGGAAGTGATTGAGCCCAGCTGTTACCAGTGTCTTGGGTATTCCTGTGTCCTGATGGCCGTATGCCCTCAGTGGAATAAGGCCCACAGCACAACAGCTGTCTTGGCCAGCATTAGCATTGCACAGACATGGCTGAAGCCTCCTGCCCTGTGTCTACAGATGGAGGCTGAGGAGCTGCAGGAGCATGAGGCACATCAGCTGCGGGAGCATCTGGCCCTGGTGCTGAGCTCCCTCCTGGAGGCACAGACTCTCCCTGGGGGCCAGAACCAGGTGGGACCACAGCTGCTGCAGCGGTGTCAGACCCTGGAGCAAAAGACGGCCACCTTTGAGAACATCGTCTGTGTCCTGAACCGAGAGGTGGAGAGGGTGGCTGTGACTGCTGAGGCCTGCAGCCGGCAGCACCGGTTAGACCAGGATAAGATTGAAGCCCTGAGTAACAAGGTTTGTGCCTGGTGGGGTCTAGTGGCTCATCAGCTTTGGAGCCTAGGCAGCATAAACCCCTTCTGTACCCCAAGCCGAGCATGGTGCCTTCCTTCGGCTGTGGCCACCTACATTTCTCTGAGGGACCTGACTTGAAAGGTTACAAGGTGTGACAGCCAAAACCTCTTCTTTCTGGCCGGGGAGGGTGGCATCAGCAGTGTCACGTAACTTGTGCTGTGCAGCTTCTGGGCACACTAGGCCCAGAGCCTTCAGTGTGGACTTGGAGCCTCACTTCATACCTGGAAGGAGCAGACCTAAGAAGAGCTGAGCCAAGGGAGCTGGGGTGGCTGTCCTCCTGAGACTGCTGGGTATGGGAGGTGGGGGCTTGGGGCCCATGGCGCATGTGGTGACCACTGCCCTGCAGGTGCAGCAGCTGGAGAGGAGCATTGGCCTGAAGGACCTGGCCATGGCTGACCTGGAGCAGAAGGTCCTGGAGTTGGAGGCATCCACCTACGATGGGGTCTTTATATGGAAGATCTCAGACTTTGCCAGGAAGCGCCAGGAGGCTGTGGCTGGCCGTACACCTGCCATCTTCTCCCCAGGTGCTGTTTCAGAGCTCCCCACTTACCCTGCTGCATTTCTGTACACCTGTGTCCCCTGCCCCAGTGGCCACATGGAATGACTCCTGAGGCAGGGCTGGGAGCATCCCAGCTGACACCAGGAGCATCTGTACTTCTGAGGCACCCCTCAGCTGGGCAACATGAGAACTGCTAGATGTCAGGCTGGCTGCTCACAGGGTGTGCCCCTTGCCACTGGGTGAGCGGAGGGCACGTGGGCATGGTGATGGAAGATGGGCCAGCATAAGGAGGAACATGGCGCTCTCGGGTGTTAGTGGCTGAGCTGGTCAACCCCTGTGGTCTGGCTTCTGGTGTCTGCTGCAAACTGGAGGCCTGAGGTCTTCTGAAGGGGGCCTGTGGGTCTCCTCCGGAAGGCACTCCTGTGGGGCCAGGAGGGCCGTCTAGTTGTGGGCCAGTTTGTTTCTGTGACAAGGTCTGCCGTGCCAGGATTGTGCTTCTCAGCATGCTGCTGGAGCCACCTTCCTGGGTACTTCAGAGCACCTCCTCTGTGCCTGGAGGCCCTCCTGGTGGTGGCATGACCCTGGCCGTCGTCCCTGTCCCTGCTCAGGCCCATCATTGGCTCAGACTTAGATACCGTCTCCCTGGAGGACACTCTGTTTTTGTGTTTTCTTAGGGAACCTGCTGGTGAAACAGTAGGTTCTGGGATTGAGGCTAAGAGGCTGAGGCCCCTAGTTGGGTGGCCTTGGCTTGCTGTCCCTGCTCTTTAGGGACCTGCACCACCACCCTCCTGTGTGGCACATCCTGTAGTGCCTTCAGCAAGGGCCAGAAATGAACAAAAACCATACACTCTGGCTTCCTTGGAGTGAGATTGAAAGAACAAGTTTGTCTTGGGAAGACCTCAAGGAAGTGCTCTGGGACAGCCTGTGGGGCATGGTGCTTCTCTTTCTGGATGGGTTTTGTGCCGTGTTCCCCTTGGGCTTTCCTCTGCAGGTGGACTAGTGCCATTCGTTGGACGTTTATAGAGAGCCTGGTATGAAGGGCCATCATGGCAGGGGTTGTGTAGGAACCACACTTGTGCAAAAGGTCCTTTTTGCGGAAAAAGTCTGCTTTAGAAGACTTGGTGACCTGTGCTTGCATCTGGCAGTGGCCGCGGAAAGCAGGGAAGATGGTTTTCAAGTGTTATGCCTGGGGCTCTGCTCTGGGGACTGAGTATGGCCTGCATTCCTCTTCAGAGCCTGAAACCAGAACTGTGGAGAAGCAGGAGGAGGTCAGCTACTGTTGGCTGGGTGGAACTGTCAGGGTGCTCCAGGGCAGTGTGGTGGGAGTCTGTGGGACTGT